CGTTGCCCGGGCCTCGCCTCTCCCCTCCGGCCCGGGGCGCCACGGGGACCATCCCTGACACACGGGGATTGTCTCGGCACCCAGGCACCGAGTGCTTCCGGGCGGACGGGTGTCACCCCAGCCGGTGGGAGCACGGACAGGTGTTCTGGAGAGGCCTCACATCCCTCCAGGTTCGCTTAAAAATCCTTTACCAGGTCGTGTTCACAAGTTTTTTCCCTGATAGTCCCCTTGTTCAGCATCTGTGCATAACATCAAAGTACTTTGTGGGTGGAAACTGTAGGTATGTGCAGAAACAGCAATAAGAATCTTGTTATTCAAGTCAACAAAAAGCACACACGTAAGTGTAAGCAGGCTTTACTAGCGTTGCTTTCTGAGGCTGTATTTTGTGAGGTTTAACTCATAACAACCTCTCAGCTTCGCGCTTGCAAGATGGAGAGTTGCAGTGCTCCCTCTTGGGCTTTAAATATCCTCAAGCTGTTTCATACGCTGTTATACGGTGTTTAGCCATTTTGTTTACACAGAACCAAACAGAATAAAGCAAAATGAAGAATGAGAATTTTTTTTTTTCTGTAGAAAGCTGCAGTTCGTGTAATGAGTAACATGGTTTTGTTCTTAGGTTTGAATATACACACAAGAAACAGACTGGTGGAGCAGGCCAGTATGGCAAAGTTATAGGTGTGCTTGAGCCCCTGGATCCAGAGGACTACACAAAAGTAGAATTTGAAGACAGAACCATTGGCACAAATATTCCAAAACAATTCGTGCCTGCTGTTGAAAAGGTACAAAATGTTTTGTGTGTGTATATAATATAAGGAATACTGATTCTTGATGTTTTCCTGCTATACAGTCCACATTTACTGTGACTGCCTCGCCCCAGGCAAGGCAGCTTTTCCCATTACTTAGTGGAAGCAAAATCACATTTGTGTGGTTTTCCTTCATATCTGACATTCTTAGGTTTTCCACTTAATTTAGAAATTGCTGCTGGTTTTCTTTGGTGGTGTGTGCTTGCTCTACTTTCATATCAGTACCTCCATACAGAAGGTAGGCTTTCCTGTCTCACAAACAAGCCTCCTGATGAATCTGCTTTTTAACAGCCCTCTTCTGCTTTTGATTGTGGCCACACGATTCTCATCTCTAACCCCAAATTACGTAACTTTTTTTGTGACTTCTCTGAGGCCAACTATGTAGTAAACTGCAATTAAGCTGTATTTCCTGCATGAATTACGAAATATTCTTTTTCTCTCTTCTGCAGCTTTCCTCTGTGTCTGTTTCTCTGAAACTAATTTACCATGTCGTACTTTACCATGATGCTTGAATTCTTATAATAATGGATTCACCTAAAATAATTCCTTCATTACTACATGATGCAACACTTAAAGATTTTTGCCAAATCCTGGAAAAAGCCTGCAGTCTTAAAAGAATCTTGTTCTTTAGTTAAGTGGTTAGAGTAGTTCTTTCCACAAAGAGCATTCTTTTGGGTTTTGACCGTACAATCCCTTAACAAAGCAAAGTTCTGAGTACATTTCTTTTTCTTGTCCTTAGCTTGTTACGTGATTTCTGTTTTTTAAAAAGAGCAATATTGAACTGAGGTGCCAAAGAACGACAGTACAAAGTTTTCAAATGCTTGTGAATGGGAAGTTTTCCCAGCTGTTTTTTCTCCTATTATTTTACCAAGCAAGAAGGTCCATTGGGTAGATGCAGGATTGCTGTTACACATTGTGAAAGGGTTTGGTGGGGTTTTTTTTTGTTACTATTGCTTTGGTTTTTAAGTTTAATGTCTTTTGCAGGCTATTGTTAATGCTGCTCTTTTTTTAGGCTTTGTTTTGGTCTACAAACTGCTAACTTTGAGATGTTTTTTGACAGGGATTCCGAGAAGCATGTGAAAAAGGTCTAGTGTCAGGCCACAGGATCTCTGGAGTGCGGTTTGTCCTAGAAGATGGTGCACATCACATGGTGGACTCCAATGAAATCTCTTTCATCAGAGCAGGAGAAGGAGCCCTGAAGCAAGGTATACATCCGGTCATTTGAATGTGTGACCCTGCTCGCTTCCTGATTGTTGGAGCTGAATCTAATGTACTCATTTCTCTAGGTTCATTGGTTGCTTGGTGTATCCATACGTACTCTCAAAATTCAATCAGTTTTATAGAGCAGAATACGTGCAAGAGTTTATAGAAATTTTAAGGGAGGCACAATAGTTCTTTTAGTTATTTGGAGAAATCCTGTTCATAGTACAGAAATACCAACAGCTTAATTTTTAGACAGGTACAAAAAGAACATTTTATCAAACTGTGTGCCTTCTGACATTGCAGTCTCAGGAATAAAAAGCAGGGGAGCTGGAATTCCACATAGTTGATTATTGTTTTCCCCTGCTGATGTGAGAAGGACTTAGCATTAACTGTAAAACACCTCTTTGGTATGCACAGGGGTACCTTGAATTATATCAGGCTTGTTCTTTGATGTTTGATTATTTAATTATTTTTTTTCCACTCCAGCTATGGAAAATGCCACTGTGCGTGTACTCGAACCTGTTATGGCAGTGGAGGTGATGGCACCCACGGAATTCCAAGGAGCAGTGATAGCTGGAATTAATCGCCGCCATGGTGTGATCACAGGACAAGATGGCACAGAGGGTTACTTTACTGTTTATGCTGAGGTTTGTGTTGTTCTCTGGTTCCTGACCTTTTCTTTTCTTGTGCTGCCTTTCAACTCCCTTTACTGTTTTACTTACTGTCTAATGTACGTAAACTCGTAGCTGTGTTTTTCAGTGGATGAACATGACGTTAGTTTTTCAGTTCATAAGCATAACACTAATTTTAAACTCATGACAGTGTACCGTGCAGTAATAGTAAACCTATTGTAGATTTGTCTTGCTCCAGAGAAGCCAACTTTCTGACCTCAAGTCAGATAGTGTCAGAGAAAGAAACAGCACGCTGGTTGCTCAAGGTGGACAGGATGCACTACCTGAAGCAAATCTGGGTAGCAATACAGGCACGCAGAGGTCAGGGGAAGATCTTTACAGTTAATGTAATAATTGCAGATAAATGTAAATTACAATTACTTGTCTTCAATGTTCCTTCCCCTCCTCCCCCCTCAAAACGTGTGTTCTCATGTTAGGCGGCGGTGGTCGGGTAAATCATCATTTGCCTTAGCTAAGGGCAGACTACACACTGCATCACTTCTGCTTCATAAATTGTAGTTAAAGCTGCAGTCTTGAATAATTTCAAATGTAATCTCCTGCTGGGTGTCAAAGATTACTGAGTCTGGGGTATTCGAGTATCTGGGGCATTCAAACTCTGGTGGAATTTTGGGGGTTTCCTGTCGGAAAAACATTGTGAATACAAATTAGTTGAAATAAGAGGTATTTTACAAAAACAGATAATTAGATCACTACTGTTTAAAAAGAGCCCCAGATTTTACTGACTCTGTAATCGTAATTGAGATTAATTGGATGATAACCAAAGTTGATGGAAAAACATCTTGTTTTTACAAGAAGAGTGTTCTTGGATTTTAGGTGCCACTGAATGATATGTTCGGATATGCCTCTGAGTTGAGGTCTTGCACAGAGGTACGTACTCGCTTGACTTTTTGCTAAAACATGTTTATTTCTGTAAATCAAGTATGCTGATTTGCGTCATCTTACACAGTGTATGCAGCCATAAAAGCAATAAAAATCAAGTGCAGAATCAGAAAATAAGCTTAGAGCTTTTGCTGTTACGTTAACTGTAGCTTTTAATTAGCATAGCTATCATTAGCCGTGTCATTTCTGGCCAGAAAATTCTTTCCTACTTTAAGGCTAGAATTGATTCAGAGTTGTAAGCGATACAAAGTGGTAGGTATCAGTAAAGGTATTAAATTCACAGGCTGGAAAAGTTTAGGCATATGCTTTAAGTTACAGGTATCTGCAGGTAGAAGAGATTTTTGGCAGCACTGCCAAAAAGTTAAGGTGTCCTTTTTTTGTAATCTATATGCCTGTAGTTACACATTCTTTGAATGCATTTGAATTGGGTGAGTCTGTCTGTGACATAAAATCTGCTGTTACACATCTGGTGACACAAAAGTGTCGGTTTTCTGCGGGCACTCAAATGGGTTGGTATGAATACCACAGTCACTTTCAGGTTTGAAGCAGAATTGTCACACTGATGTGGTAGGAACCACAGGTGATCTTAAAGTCTTGTTCACAGGAACAACATCCAGATACTGTATGGGTTTGTATCTATCTCATGTATGTGCCTCAGTACATGATGTATGCTTCATCATACACAATTATTGCATGAATTTCACAGATGAGGATGTGGCCTGCTAAATAGGATTACACTGTTTGTGTCCTTATCTTGACTGTTCTTTTTCCAACTCTACAGGGAAAGGGTGAATATACAATGGAATACTGTAAATACCAACCGTGTTCGCCCAGCACTCAAGAAGAAGTAATTAACAAATACCTTGAAGCAACAGGGCGACTTCCTGCAAAGAAGGGCAAAGTAAAAAACTGACTCTTTTCCTCTCATGTACATTGGATGTTTTTTCACAATCTTCTCCCAAAGCTCCTTTGCCCAAGCAATGGTAGCAGTCAAGGCTGGCTGGATAAGTGCAGGCTGCAGCAGGACTTGGACTTGTCATTTCATTGTAATATCCTTCCTTTGTGGTGTTCTCAGAAGCCACCAGGAGATTGCAACAGAATTGTTCAGATGTAAATGCTACTCATTAACAAAATATATAAATGTTCAAACACGGATGATAATTTGTCTTAATCCATTTGTATTAAAATAATTTTAATTTTTTACTTGATACATCATTATTTTGTAATTAGGGCAGTTCCTCTTTCTCTGGTTTTGAAAGTTTAAAAATTTTTATTCAGGAGACCTGGCTAACTCTGACCTGCTTGGCAGGCATGGGGGGATGAGCCACCACCCCATGCTCAGCGTTTTCTCACACGTCCTCCAAGCACAGATCCTGTGGCACTTCCAGCATCCCTTGCTGAGAATGAATGTCACTTTTCCCTCCACATCCTTCAGAAACCATGCCAGAAGCCTCCGAAGCCTGTGCAGCTTGCTTGTCACCAAATCAGCCTGTCCACTGACAGTAGAGGGCATTTGAAGAGGGTTGAGGAGAATGTATGTAGAAGTTAACTCTTTCTGACACTATGAGTGACATGGATTTATTATACGGCCATGCTTTCTTGTCAGAAAACTAAACCAGTTTCCTTTTCCCAGAATCTTCCAATCAAAAGGACATGTTACTGCCGACACTTAGCTTGGGAATCACTTGAATGGTTCTTGGTCACTCATAGAAGAGAGCTGAGACAGGGGTACTATAGTTAGGTGAGAAAGAGTAGTTATCATCTTTTTTTTTTTTTTTTTGTTAATTACTACCAGAGGATCCACACTGGGGTTTCTTTGCGTGGTCTCTCTTCCTGTCCCACTCTGCCTAACAGTATTTTAGCAGACTTCCAGTAAACAGAGAATGAATTTCCAGTTCAAAACCAGCCACATTCCTGGCACAGGATTGGGGCTGATGGTTACCAGACACAGACAGAACTGTAGCAGCTGGGCATCTTCTCGGCTTCTGCTGGCAGACAGTGAAAATTACTTACTTTAACCTCAAAAAAAGTGAGAGATTGGTCAGGGGCGGTTAAATGCTGCTTAAACACAGACAAAATGTGTATGAGTATGATACTGCTTTGGGCCAAATCCTTCTTGATTCCCTTGCACTCACTGCTTTGGTTTTGTGAGAATGCTCAGCTGGGACTTACTTCACAAAAAGCCCTGCAGTTTCTCATGATATTTGGAGATTTGCTTAAGCAAATACAGCATATTTACCGAAAGTCAGAGATGGCTTATAAAAGCAGAATAAATGCAAGGAAGAAATGGAATAGTTATTATTTTATTTATATATATGTCTTTTATGTTGTGCTTGGTTGAAGCCAATTGTGCAGTGAATTCCTCGCTTGTGGGTGCAGCCAGGGGAGCGCTGGGTCTCTGCAGACCTGGCACAGCATAGGGACAGCTGAGGCACAATGAGGTCAGCCCAACTCAAGCACCGGCAAGAGAATCTGTAGGTGAGGGAAGCCTGACAGGTAACAGGGGGCACTGGAGGTAGGGTGGAGGGCGAGAGCCTTGGAACACCCTGGATTTTGTTTGAGCATGATGGGGTTTTTGTTTAATCGATTTGAGGTAGTGCTCACATTATGTGTGACTTAAGTGAACTCTCCCTAGCAGCAAAGAGGGAAGAGAGTGATTCCTCTTCTCTTGTCTCTGCCTCTTCCAAACAGGCTCTGTGTAGGTTTTGTAGCGTCAAGAATTCACTGTGAACCCGCCTGGGCCTTATCTCAGACCGCGTCTGCATTGATGTAACTAAGAATTTTGCTGTATGATTTTAGGTTCTGACCCACTAACTGAAATCTTGGCCCTAAGGAAGCTGGTGGAAGTTTTGCCTTTGAGTTCCAACAGGTTTGCTACTTCTCCAAAACTTACAGTGCAGCTTATCATCCAACATGAGTTTGTGTTGCTTATTAGTAGTCAGTTACGCCAATCTGGCAAGTTGAAAGTGCCCAATCCTTTCTTTGGCGTCTGGAGAGCCTCACAAGGTAAGGGAACTGAACTTGTGGTTAGGTGTATGCTAAAGTAGAGCCCCAAAGTGCAAAATCTGTGCTATTCTTTTAATTAAAAAAAAAAAAATTTCATCACCAATTTCTTTAAGAAATGTTGCCATTACAAGCTCTGAGTTCATGCTTTGGATGTTGAGGAATGCTTTACCAACACAAAAGAAAACACCAGGAGTATGTGAAATGTTGCTTCATGGAATTTATTGTAATGCCTGTTACGTGCTGATATAAAAAGCTTCAGTCAGTAGAAGTACATTGGATTGTAATACACTTGTGTAAAAAATGCCTGAATTTGGGGGGGTTAACAGATCACCTGGCCTACAGAGTTAAAGCTGTCATGTTAAGTATCTTAATAATGGTTTCCAATTACAGATCAATGATAGCACAATCTAGCACAAATTATAAAGAACAAAATCGTCTCAGAAGCAGAGGCCATGTTTCCTGAAGGAAAGGGTACTTACTGATAATAAGTTAATTTAACCTGGGAGTAATCTTGCTTATAGGGGAAGGAAAAGCAAACTGGAGACAGTTTGGCACTATTTGAGCAAATGGAGGGAAGGCAGCAACAGCTCTGCTGGAAGCCAAGTGGAGATTTGGGCATGACAAGATAAAACCACATCCTTGCCAGAGGACTTTGCTGTGTTTGGGATATGCACAAGATGTGGCGGTGTTAATCCACAAGCTGTTTGATGGAGTGTTCTGTACCCCAAACCCCAGTATGGAAATGCATTCATACTGAGCTGTCCTGTTTGCAGTTCTCTTTTTGTTCAGGGCAATAGAAAGAACTGCAAACAGACAGTGCCAGTGCCCTTGGTTTCTGCCTGAGCAGCACTGCTGTGCAGGGCTCCGGGAAGGGGACAAGCACAGGCAGACCCCAAAATGTGTTTTCTTTATATCAGTATTTTCTGAGTTGCCTTCACAAAGAAGAGATAAAAAACTCTGTCAGCTGATGCTGCAGGGCACAGCGGTGCCTCAGCGGGACTAGGCTGTGCAGACGGCGGTTACCAGGGCCTCATGGGGAGACATGTCGCTGACTGTGCTCGTCCAAGTCCTTCTAGAGGCTGGACAGCAGGAGGACATGGACAGCTCGGGTCAGAGAGCAGTGTCAGAAGGAAACCCAACCTCCACGCTGCAGAACAGTACTGGGTTTATTGGAGATGTAAGTTGAAAATCAGCACGGATCTAGCACCTTCCTTCTCCCCCCCTCCAAAAAACCAAAAAAAAAATATCAGTAGACAAATATTTCTGAGCAACAGATTAATACATTTCTCAAGTTTTTTATCCCAATATATTAACTTTGTTTACAAGCTATGTTACTCAAAGCTACAGTAAGTCAGTGACGTAAAATCAACTTGTGTATACATGTGTATACATGTGTATACATGTATATACATATACAACTCTGTATACACGTAGTAGCAAAGTTTCTTATGTAGAACTCTACGAGTGTTGCATTAAGAAACTATGGGAATTAATTCTGTAACAAGACAGCTAGCGAAAGTACTCAAATTCACGGTTCAACTTGTATAGAAAAATTACTGCAGCTCCACGTCTATTAGCACAGGGATTTTCTCATTTAATACAGGTATGTAAAACTGACAATTGCTTTTAAAAATTGGGTCCCTTTTCATGTAGAACCCCAGCAGCTGATCCAGATTCCATTCCAGATCCGTCTTCCAGCCCCTGGTTTTCGGAAGCACAGAAGTATTTTACTTTCAGAGGATGACCAGGAAGCCAAGTGAGGCGCATGTGACATGAAATAATTTCCTGGAGAAGAGAATTAAAAATACACATCTTTTACAATTTTGATGCTGTCCCTCTGTTAATGAAAGGAGGTAGTGTACACCTGCACTTTCTTACCTGTGTTGGAATTTCATGGAGCAGGATGGTGTAGTCAAACTCGGTAAAATCATCTTTCCTTATCTGGGCATGTTTCAAAAAGAAAAAGATTATCAAGGACACAAGTTATACTGTTGAAGTTTAGAGGCCACTCAGATTTACTTGGCTGTATTTAGCTTGCTTACGGAGCAAGGTGAACAGTGCTCAAGATGGCTGTGGTCAATGAGGCAGGTTTTGTGTGGGGAGAGACAGGGAATTAGGAGCATGTCCTGCTTATAGAAATGTTGAAGGCACTAACTGTGGTGTGGCTCTGCAGTCTGACTGTTCTCTCACCTGCAACTGGGCTGACTCAGGTCCTAATTAATTGACTAACCCTCAAATAACTTTCAGAATCCTTCCCGCTTTTTAATTTCTCCTTCAGAGAGATTCTCATTCTAAATAGTTCAGATCTAATTCTAAGTAACTAGGGATTAAAAACTGAATGCTGTCTTTTGACCAGAGGTGATGGAGGTGGAAACAAAGCTTTGGGAACTCCTGTTCATTACGCTGAGGTGTAAGATACATTCCCTGAGAATGCAGTCTGGGCGCTGGCTGATGCTGCCTTTCAGCCTGGATAGGCTTCGCTTTACCCACTTCACTTACTCCACTTCACTTACCCATTGCTTCACAGACTTCACTTGTGCCATGAAGTAGCCCATGTCTTCTGTTGACTTTTCCCACATTATGTAGCTGCTGCCAGCAACAGCTAAAGCCCACACTGGCTCCAGGGCAGGTTCAATATTGCCATGGCTGTCTGCAAGGGAGAGAGAAATATAAAGTGGTTGATTCTGCCTCAGGAAAATTATAAACCTGGAGCACTTCTACCTGGTGTAGCACTGCTCCTGGAAGTGACTTTTGCTTTCGATATGTTAGTCTTGGACAGGGAGGAAAGTGATGTTGAGCCTGCAGTCAGAGTATGAAAGTGTGACAGAACTGAAATCACCAAGAGACTCTGCTCACTGCATCCCCACGGGGAGGGGAGAAGCCCAGTATCCACGGCAGTGGAAGTCCTTACCTAGTGACGAGGAAAAGAGGGGCCGGGGTGCTCTGTTTCCAGGATGGAAAAATTGTGTTGTCATCCCTTGTGAATTCCCCCCACAGCTGGGGAAGGCGTGTGGGTTAAGGCAGTTGTTACTACTCAAGGACATTTTGCATTTACTTGAATATAAAACTGCACAGGCTTTGCTTTTAAATCCAAAACACTTTCACAACAGGTGTTGGGTTTTTTTTCTCCCCAAGAATTGCTGGCAAGGTGGAATTGTTCTGATAGTTAGCTCTATGGTATTAGGGTGCTACTGCAAATACATGTGTCTCCTTTTGAAAATGTGTGTACCTTTGCTCTGTTCTTAAAAGTGCCCAGCTCTTTAAGGTAAAATGAAATACAGTCAATTATTTGGAGGAATATACCTGGAATATTGTTTCCAGTTATTGGTTTTGTTTGGTGCCTGATTTTTTGGTAAAGCCTGTTGTCCTCTTCCTGGATTTGCTTCTGGTCTTTGCTCTGCATGCACTTGATACTGACAACAGGTGGAGACTTTGTCTTCGGATACAACACTGTAGCAAGGCAGTTCCCAGCATTTTCCTGGAAAGATAGAATTTAAACCCATTATCTTTAATCAAGGTTTTATTTACCAGCAACACATTCTTAAAAAGGCTCTTGGTACATCATGTGAAGTATACGTATGGAATACGTATATGTCTTTGTGAGATACTTTGTACAAAGTTGTACAGGGTCAAGAAAGTCTTCAGAAAGATATATATATATATTTTATATTTTTTTCCCCCCAGAAAAGTAAATAGGTTAAAACCACAAGGCTAAAGTGATTTAACAGAACTGTTTAATCAAACTGTGGCAGAAATGCACTAAGTCATCTTGGAAATATGTTTGAGTTCTCAAAAAATAACCTCAGTTGATAACAGGGACTCTTGTGTACTTTAGCCTTGAAACAAAAATAATGCTTCATAGTAACTTCTGAAAAGAATTAAAATTTCATAAAATGTGTGTGCAATGGAAAAGCAGATGCTTACAGTAAAGTTGATAATGATAACTGTCTGACAGAATGAACGGAGGGGGGGTTCTAATGAAAAAAACACACAACTTGTTAACTCTTTATTCTCATTTTGGTGTGCAGACACAGCAGGAGCTACAGCTGGATGATGAGGACCATACTGACATACTGAGTTTGGGCCATTGCAGGGCTTCACTCAGGTGCTTGGATGTGACTGATGTGACTTGAAACATGACAGTCTCTTCAGGCACTGAGCAAAGTGGGTAACTATGGTGCTGTGACCACTTGAACCCAGGCAGAGGCTGAGGGCTGATGAGATGAAATACTCGAGTGATCCCAAGAGCAAGCCATACCCGATGTTGGACAGGCACGTAGAACCATAAAGGTAAGTCTTTCCATTGTGAAAGACCCATTTATGACAGCATTTAAATGTAACCTGTTACAAAGATACTGAAGTTCATATAACACGTGCTATCAGAAGAAACACGGAGGACCATAAACTCACCCCACTTTTGTAGTCTTCAGTAGTGAACTGCAGGTAGTACTTGTGACCAGAGTCTGGGATGCTCTGGAAGAGAGAAGGATTCAGCAATTGGCATAACTATAGCCTTATGTACTGTAACTTGCCGTAAGCACTGAAGAGGAGAAAAAAGGCCCTCATGGAAACTGGTCAGATGAGATGTGCTGAGACAGTCCTAGCAGCAAACACCAAAGGATCTCAACACTACTGTTAAATAGCTCTTACATTAAGGGATGGTTTAAAGCCTTTCCTCACAGAGATACACAAGAAGAGAAATGCAGCTTTAAGTCCTTCATGGGACAGATTGATACTGGGTAACTTTAAAAATAATAAAACTACACTTCAGCCTCCAAGGAGATTGGTTTTTTTGCACAGGCCATCAGAGTGCCCTTGAATAAATATAAATAAATGAATCAAATCTCGCTGACTGCTTCACAGCTGAACAGGAATTACACAGGCTAATTTAACCTTAAGGATGCTAACCTTTCTAGTTATTTTTTTCTACGGTGACTGGAAAGAGACTGATTTCGCTACACAGCATGGCAGAGCAGGATTCTGATCTGCTCTTTTTGCCCTGGAAATACCAGTGACTAACTTGCTCAATCAACTATCCAAGATTGTGCTTGTGGAGGAAGAAATAAAAGAATACTCCTTGCTTATGGAAAGCAGCCAGTAGCACCTCTTATAGCATAAAGCACCAGAAAAGCCTTAAAAGTGTACGCCTTCAAAATAGGTAATTTTCTCGATTATGGGATTTTTTGTTTGTGTATTTGGGTGTTTTTTTGCTGTTGCTGACAGAAATGCTTCCATTAACAAATTGTATTTTTGGTGTGGGGTATGAGACTGTCCTGGCCCCAAGCATGCTGAGACAGAAACTAGCTTTTAATGTTGACTATGAAAAATATTAATTATGCTAAAATAGGATCAATATCTCATTCCGTAATGAAAGAGCAGGACCAGTAAAAAGTATTTTTACTGTTCTATACTTCATTAGTCAGTCTCTTGTTTTCTTACCAACTTTTATATTAACTTCTGAAATTCCTGTATTTTTGAGTGGGGAGTCTGAGTAACAAATAGTGTGGAAAAGTTTCTATTTATTCAACTACCTCCTTGTAAAATAACATTATATGTTATCTAACAGTTTGGTACATTTCCAAGCCTTTCCTTCGATTAAATCAGCTAGAAGTAAATGAAAGTAAGTAAGTCTTTTTGTGTGCTATCCTATGATTTCTTAGACAAGCTTTCTGATACACAAGGTCACTTCTGCGTCTGTAAGTTTACTCCTTTTGTATATATTGCCTGGCTTAATAAGAGGCCTTCTCCCTTGTCATAAAGCTCTTCTTGCTTCTGTTTGCTGCTGGTGGGGGATATATCTTTACACAGGCTTTTCTTTGTGCAGCGCATGAGACAATGTAGAAAATGCATCTTACTGGAGCAGCAAGCTGCCTTCTCAAGCATATGCTTAAGACAAATGACTAATCCAGCAACAGCGCCGATTTGTTAGTCTTATTTAGTTTTTAAATACAATACTCCTCAGATAAACAGGAAGGGAATTCTAGCTGTTTGCATAATTTAGAAGCTTAGAACACAAAGCAAATGCATGTGGTTTATTTATCTAAACTTGGGCCTTTGTGTTCCCATCACACTTTTCTATGCCATTAATAGCATAATGATAGCAAAGTTTCATTCCCAGGGCAAGGCCATCAGCCCAGCACTCGCCTTTAGTACACACATGAAGTTACGTGCTGCAGGTAAGAGGAAAAAGTGGTCCAGTTGCTCTACCCTACTTCTGTAAAAACCCTCTTGAACTTTATGATGAGGCAAATCTGGAGCTGGACCCTGATCACACTGTGAAGGGAATGGAGGAAACGGACAGAGGATGAGTTCAGACTTCTATCTCTTTCTTCTCTGCCTCCCCGTTCTCCCCTTTTCCTACTCGTTTTGTGTATCAGCTAAAATGTTGTCCTTGAAATGACAGAGAACGTGACATGAGGAGACATAGCAAAACAGTACAGGCTAGCTTTCTGAAGTGCAGGCTGACAAAAGAATCAGGAATTTGTGGGGCTGAAAGAGGGGTATAATTTCTCACTAATCACTACAGTTAAGTCCTAAGTTTCTGCTTATTGTAAAGGTACCCAAGAGCTGTGTTACTGCTGTTGTTTCTAACATTCATTACATCAAGCATGGGTGTTTTTTAAGCACAGTGACCTAGGTTTACTCCTTTTCTTGTCACCAGTACTGCAGATGAGAGAACCTGAAATATGTGGACTACAGTGCCTCCAAAGCAGGAGGAGAAACTTAGTTCCAATTTAATTGATGATAAAGGATGGGA